TGATCCTGGGTGTGGAGAATCATCATCCACAAGCCTTTTAGTTTGGGCATCACTGTAGAGACATTAAGTATTCTAGGAGCAGGAGTGATAAAAAAACAGCAACACGTCTGCCGGGATTCAAACCACAAAACTCTGAACCACGCGCCCAGCGTGCAGACCATCACACCATTAAGACATGCTAAGAAGGTGGGAGAAATACTTTATAACCTGTCAAAGAGTCCAACATTTACTCGCTGAATTCTGAGCTCGCCGAATAAGGACTTTTACGGTTAAAAGACAGAATACAATTTGCAGACTGTCTGGAATCCGCCAAGCATCCATGGATATTGCTATGGATAGTCGAAGAATCACAGTGTCGATACGTCAATCTGTTAATTTTCAACATACATGAAAGGGTATTTCATTCCGGAATGAACTCCACTCTGATGAACCTTCGTGAATAATTTTTTGTGATCATAGGCAGACAACGAATTAAATCCTTGTTGAACAGATGCATGGTCTGCAAAAGATATAGTGTTCACTCTAGAGTAGGATAGGTAGGCATTTGCTATTCCTTCCTCAAACTAGAATATCTACGGATGATTTATTAGGATTGAGAAAATCCATCGTGAAAAAATTCAAACATCAACAGAATGTATTAATTAATTTTTAGAAATGCTGGCGGAAAAGTTATTTATTAAATTTAAGATCTGCTAAAATGTGCCAGCAAAATTCAAAGGCAATAGAATTTAAACCAAATGACTCGGTGTTAATCAATGAAGAACGCTACCCTAGAAATATATAGTCTGTGAGTAGAATTATAGAGATTTACATAGGAAGAGACGTTTGCTTGTGTTCAATCAAAACTGGCACTGGAGTAATAAGAAGGGCAGTTCAATTAATTTACAATTTAGAGCTCGATGACTGAGTCGAAAAATTTAAAAATTAACAATATGTTAGTCATAAGATTGAAACTTTCTGTTTTTCATTATTGTATTCATTTAATTGTTATGTGCTAATGGTATTTTTATTCTCTATTCTTTGTGTTAACAGTTGTTTACTCAAGAAACCTTTGTATGGAAAACACTTTTAGAAGATCATGTAAAAATATGGTAATTACTTTATTGCAATGTGATTGATATCAATCCATATAATTGAAATTGGTAAGTATTTGTTATAAACTCTATATTAAGAGTTTAAGTATGGATTGTTACAAAACACCTACAGAGGGCACTCCACCATCCTCTGTTTCTTCAAGGTAGAATTAGAAATTAATATGTAACGAGATGTGCTTAACTATGAATTAGAATGTTTTGTAAGGGAGTCGTCAGCATTAATAATTAGCGGCAAAATAATATTATACTCTATTTCAGTAACTTGTAAATAAATTAGTTGTTGTGTTTTAGATAGCCTTTTAGCCTATTACATAAAACCTGAACCACCGAAAGAAATTAACTTGATGTTGATGATAGTTACAATATTGAATTAGTATTTCACAATGTAAGAGTTTGTTTCTTATATGAAACTTTGCTATCTTTCAATTCTGGGTATGACAATATTTAAATTGTAAAAAATAGCTCAAGTGAAAATTCGGATGAGTAATTGCACTCCTCATTGGCTTTGGCAACTGGTTTGTTCTAAAATGTTGTGCTACATTAGACATGTGCTTGTGTTACGTTATATAAATACACTTCCAGAAACTTAGATGAATTTTTGTTAGATAATTGTTATTCAGCTGTAAGATTAAGCATGAGAGTTCTCATTGAGCTATTTATTATACGGTGCATTACTAATTTCTTTCTGATTATTTGGAGTATCAATAAACCAATAGCCTGGTTTGCTGACGTACACTGCACAAATAAAAAAAAGGGGGGGCTACAGTTCTGTCCCTCCCGTTCTACTGGGCTAATTGACGAAATGTAATTTGCGCTTTTTATGTCTCAAAAGCGCGACTTATAGCATATATCATATTTATATACAGCATTATTTTAACAACATAGATATTTTGACACAAAATCAGACTTTTTCTGAAATAAAATGCCAATTTTTTCTATATTTCGATCCTGCAACTCAAATTATGCCATATTGCCAAGATTTGTAAAAATCACACAAGCAGTTTTTAAAAAATTAGCTTTCAATGTTTTAGCTCCTCAGTGTTAATTGAACTGTATATATATCTATTATCTTTTTTTTAAAAATTAAACTTATCTGATTCTTATTTCCAGAATTCGAAACTTAGGCTTAATCCAAATTTGCACATTTTTATGATTTATTTTTAAAATTTGTATTTTTAAATATTTTTTATAAATTTTTTGACTCTTTTTATATAAAATTTTTAACATCCTCTTAAAGTAGATGTATTTCTAGGCACACATGAAAAAAATTAGACTTTTTTATTCACGATTTTCTAAAATATACATGAAATTACATATTGGTGTGTTTTAAAATTTGGCATCTTTTTTTACACGATAACACCAAATGTGTTCTATGCAGATTGTTAAAATTATTTGAAAGTATGAAAGATGATTTTTTTTTTCCCTGCTTGTCTGCAATGCAAAACAGGAAAGGAAAATTAGGTTGCTATAAATTAAGAAGTTCGTCAAGTAAATTATTCTTGGTGCAAACTAAAAAAAATTTCAGCAAGATAAATTCTTGAATTTCTATCGATACATAAATTTTGCACCAATATTTACGCATAATTTGAGTCATAGAATTGAAATATGGAAAAAAATTGGCATGTCATTTCGCAAAATGTTTGATTTTGTGTCAAAAAGTCTATGTTAGAATAATGCTATATATAAATCTAATACATACCCTAATTCGTGCTTTCGAGATATGAATTTCGTCCATGGGCCCAGTAGAATGGGAGATATAGAACTGTCCTCCCCCCTTTTTTTGCGCAGTGTGCAGCAAACCACTAGGATATATATTGACGAACAACAAACCAGTAGCATATACAGTCAAAAGTCGTTAATCCGGACTCGTCAGGACTTCGGCGCTTCCGGATTATCGATTTTTCCGGATTACAGATCATCAGTTTAAATTTCGTAAAATGGCATGGAGAAATTCTAAAATTAAAAATATGAAACCACAATTTATGAAATTAAGAACAATTATGATCTAAAGAGTATCAAAATTTACAAAAAAAAAAAAAAAAAAAAAAAAAAAAAGCTTAATATTTATTTGTTTACTTTATTAAACATTTCTTTCAATGTACGTTGTTTAAGTTGCTTCATTTTATGTGATAATAATTTCTCTTTAATTCTATAAACAGACATAATTTCTTGTTCATTTACAAAGTTCCGCTGTTCAAGTGCCGTAATTGCTGTGCTGAGAATACCGACTAACTTGTCAATCGAAATTTTTTCGTTTTCACTAACCTCTCTGTCACCTTCTTCATGTCTTTATCCATTTTTTGCAGCAATTCCACTTTTTGTTTGATGGACATCGAAACATACTTTCGTTTTGTAGATCCTTTGGGAGCTCCAGCATCGGAAATTCTATTTGACATAATCGAAAGTTCAAGTTTACTTTTATAAAATTGCTCTTACAGTCTGAAAAAAGTAATAAGCCGGATCTAGTTCAAAGATTAAGGAACAACACAATCATCAACATTAACTGAAATAGATAATTATATAATTTTAGCTTATACCGTCTGTTATACATTAAACGCGCACGCAAAAACATATTTTGCACTTGCGCACACGCATATGCGCAGTCGTAAAGGTCTTACGCGCATGCATAAATACCTATGCGCATGTGTCAACGCGGCGCATACGCAGAAAGTTTTTAGCTTTAAGGTCCGGATTATGGGTGTCCGAATTAACGACTTTTGACTGTATATTATTTTTATAATATAACAAAAATCCTTTTACTTCTTCTACCTAAGCAATGAAATACAATGATCCTTTGCGAAGAGCATTGAAAATGATCAATAAAGAAGTTTAACAATAATATCCTACATTACAGAGATAATTAAGCAAATTAAACCTTACAGAATACCATACAATTTTCATACAAATTTTTTTGCGCAGATCCAGCCAGGAACGATAATTTCCCTGGTCAACAGATTACAATACAGTACCTCAAAGAAGGAATTGCCTTAAAAAAAAAGAAAAAGGTAAAAGGTCATAAAAATGAAAAAGGATTCTGTATCAGTTATGTGCCATATGACAATATAATCTACTAAATCGCCAAAAAAATATTAGGTGTTAAATGTTTATCAAAATTTTTAATTAGACATATCATGAATTAAATCCCTTTTCATTTAAATCAATCTGATTAAAAAAATTTTAAAATGTCATTTAGAACTGTAATTATTGCTTTTAAACTTGCTTAGTTTCTCAATTAGAAAGCTTAAATTGGACAGTTAAATATCTTAAGCTACGTTCAAAGGCAACAGCACGTCATCATTGAGAAAGGTAAATGTATTCTGGGCAATGGCAACACATTATTTTTAAATAGCAGAGTTCCTTAATTAAAATTAAAAAATAAATATCTTACATTTTTTTAAACCCTAACACATTCTTTTTAAAGCTCTGAGTCTGTTAATTAAAAATTCATCAAGTTTCCACAAAACATACTTACGAAATTCAAAATTCAGTGCACACATTCAGATAAAGCCTTATGTGTGATAGTTCTAGATGCTACGGCTTTTCAACCATGCAAGGAACAAACATACATACAGATTCTTCAGTATTTAATAAAAGCAATTAATTTATTTAAATGATGACTTACTGTGTGATATAACATTTCTTGTTTTTAACTGTGTCTATAAAAGAATGTATAACTATGCTACGAAAAGTCTAGGAATAAAGTACTATACAATTCAGGGTATTAAAAGTTTTTTTTTTTGTCTAACTAAAGCACAGAGCAGAAAAAAATTATACCAGAAAATACCTTTTCCTGCTTATCAATGTAAATACATTTATGAAATGGTTCTTGAAAATGCATTTAAAAACCTTTCCTATTTTTTATATTTGCATGACTATAATTTATGCTAAGCAGTTTTTGATACTTACATGCTTTGAATTCCAGGAACAATATTAACACAACCTGCAAGTTTGCCTTTCACCAAGCCTCTAAAATTATATACAAATTAGCATTTATGTAAAATACAAGTCTAATAAAGTAGTTCAAAATTCAAGAAATAGATTACATTTATTACGTACTACAAAAAACAAAGATCATCATTCTGAATATAAAATCTGAAGTATCTGACGAGAATGGCAATGACAAAATTCACTAATATTGGAAGACACCCTCACCAAACCGGTTATTTGTTACCAGTTATCTGAAGATGTATGTCAACCACATATATGATTCCATGGATACGTCTGAACCATTTTCTGCTGAATTTCTGAATTTTAAAGCCATTATTACAAGGGTGATGAAATGAAAAGGTACAAAATGATGTAAAACTTAACAGTTAAATATTTGCATATTCTGCCACGGGAGAATGTAGTGAGATATTTCGGGATGCGATTGAAGTCTCTGACTAGGATCGAAGCATGCGCGGGTGCCCGCATGCACAGTATAGACCAGAGGCTCTTATCAAAAGTGGTGTCCAAATGATGCGGCAGTTCGTATGAGGACAGGATGGCGTTCGCGTTGCAAAATTCGACGACCGAGGAGCAGCAAGGTGTTATCTGATTTCTGAGAGCGAAAAGTGAGAAACCGGCAGCTATTCATGCAAATTCTTTGGCAGCTCCAGAATTGGGAACTCTTTTCGACATAATCGAAAGTTCAAACTTAGTTTCTATAAAATTGCCGTAATAATAACAGTCTGCAAAAAATAAGGTACTTTTCCATTTTGACGGCGCAAACGATAAAGTCGCCAATAATGGTTTAACTGATGCCAGACGGAATATCTTTGTTGGTAACCTTTTATGCCTCAGTTTCAAAACAAGTTGAAGCCATTTCTTATCAGATTGTTTCTTTCAATACTGGCATACAATAATATAGAATTTTTACACGATATTTAAATTTTATCCCCTAAGACAATTCACGGTAATTAAGTCAATTAGTTCTAATGTCAATTAGGTTCTACCGCTCAATTAGAACGCAATTACAATGCTCATCCGAAAAGGCGAAAATCAAGTGTTAATGTCATCATCATTCCAATGAGAATTGCACTAGCGAAGTAAAGCACTGCGGTTTTACATAATTTCTGAGTAAGTAAGCTATTCGTACGAATTGAAAATAATTCTTGCATTTAAAACTTGTATTCCAAAATTAAGATTTAACTTGAAATTAATGTAGATAATTACTGAGCGAATTAGAATTTTTAGTAGCGTAGTTTACGTGAGATGAGATCACTTTAGGGTCACGTGATACGAACCGGCGAATCAGGGATATTGAACCATGAAATCATAGTAAATTCTTTAAATTAATCTCTTTTTACAAATTTATTGTCTTTATTTATTGGCTTTTTACAAAATTTTAAACCATATTAAAATGTTTATGCCTTCAAAATAAAAAAAAAATTCTTAGAATTAACATTTTTTATGTGTATACTGTATGTTGTCGCCAACAAAGTCTGCTTGGCAAGATTTGCGCCGGCGAAACGGAAAAGTACCAAAAATAATAAGCTGGATCAAATTAGAAGATCAGGGAGCACCACAGTCTGCTAATTAATTGAAATGCCTTAGAATCAGTACTCAAAAACATAATGCACTACTTCCCATACAAGATTTGCTATACCCAGGATTTGCTTGATAGGGACAAGCCACAATGTCTCTCATTAACTGTCAGTTTTCTTAACAGAATGACTGTTGATCTGTCATGGCCTTGAAATATTCTGTGGAGCGATGAGGCTCATTTCTACCTCAATGGGACAGTCAACACATAGTACTGTCGCATCTGGGATAAGGAAAATCTGCAGATCCACACTGAAATTCCCCTAATGACCTGTCTTCAAAGGTCACTGTCTGATGTGGATTCGACATTCATCTTTGAGGAAATCGGTGAACGTGGGCCTGTCACATGTTGCGTTATGGGACATCGGTACCATGACATGCTGCAGACATTTGTTGTGCTGCAACTACAGTAGAGGTGGGTCCTTACATTGATCATTTTCATGCAGCATGGTACACCCCACATATCCATAGGTACGTGAAGGCTCTATTGCTCCCAGATTTCACAGAGGAATGTGTTATTAATCGCTCGTTTCTTAATCCATGGCCACTACGTTTGCCGGATCTAACTCTGTGACATTTCTGGTTATGGGGTTTTTAAAAAGTCTGGTGTATCGTGGAGGTGTTGCAATGTTGAATGACTTAAAGAACTCCATAATACTTCATGTGCAAAGCATCAAAACTGATCAGTTACGATCTGCTGTTGAACACTCTGTCCATCGACTTGAAATTTCGCAGGTGAATGAGAGTGGTCACATAGAGCACCTTTCCCTACATCGCCCTAGACACAATTAACAACTGCTCCTCTTGTGCAATTTTATCCTAGTCTGTTTTTGTTTTTCCCTTACCTTTACTTAATGTGGTTTGGTGACAAGGTAATCAGAAACTAGTCAATACGTGTTAATATTGTTTCTGTATTGCATTTTGCTCATTTATTGTGTTAAACTTCATGTTTTTCCCCCAAAAGGGACACTTTGGAACTAATTTTTTTTTTTTTTTTCGAAAGAGAGCGCATCTCATGTATAGCCTATTTACACACCTTCATTACATTCTGTTCACCCGTTTGTGCTGTAGGATGTCGTTTATAGGGGAAGTTTAATTATAACCATCCAGTATATCAAAAATTGTAATTTTGTAAATCCAAGTACTGGACTACACACAGAGTACATAGAAAGCATTTGAGTTTCTTAGGTGGCATACTAAGAACCATTTTCAGGCAGCATTTCAATTCTTATTTAGCTGAATTCATGTAGCAATAACATGTTACTGAAGGTAATATAGTACAAAGTCCGAGATCTAGACACCTTGGGACATCGGCAATTCTGGATTTTCTGAAATATCGGATCGTCAGTTTAAATCTAGAATGATGACATGTAGAAATTATAAAACTGAAAATATGAAATAGTGATTTAGGAAAGAGTGAAGCATTTATGAATTTAGGGGTGTCAAAATACCCCAAAAAAATTCAATATTTATTTGATTGTTTTATTAAACATTTCTTTCAATGCAAGTTGTTTAAGTTGCTTCATTTTTGTTTTAACACTTTCTCTTTAATTCTATAGATAGATACAATTTACTGTTCAGCTACAAAGTTCCAATCTTCAAGTCATGGAATTGTCGTATCAAGAATTCCCACTAAATTGTCAATCCAAATGTTTTCATTCTCATCAATCTCTGTCACTTTCTTCACAGTAGGTAACAATATTTTTTGGATATAGAAACATGCTAGAGATTCCACCATTCGTTAGTTGATGGATGATTGAGGCATTGTTATCCCAATTGGGAAACTTTAGTTATATCAGCTTCATTTATTAGCCCTTCTACATATTTCTTCACAAATTCCATTAATCAGAAAATTTCATGGTTTCTGAGTACAAAGAAGGGTACCCCTTGTATTATCGTGAAGTTGTTGTTTCATTTATGGTAGCCTGAGTAGCTGAATATTGTGGAAACCCTATTATGATGCAATTGGTTGCATGATTGCGGCAAATTTCTAAGGGCTTGTATGTGTGTTGGTTTCAAATGTTTCAGGTTTAAAGAGATTGTCATTAAATCTCACGTACTACGCTACAAAAATCTAATTCTCTCAGTAATTATCTACATTAATTTGAAGTTAAATCTTAATTTGGAATACAAGTTTAAATGCCAGAATTATTTTAATTCATATGAATAGCTTACTCAGAAATTTTGTAAAATATCAGTACTTTACTTCGCTGGTGCATTCTAATTAGAATTGAGGAATTTAACTCGACTTTGCCTATATTTTTGCCATTGAGTGAGCGGTGTGATTGCATCCTAATTAATTTAATTAACACCCGCGGATGGCCTTAGGGCATAAAACTGAACTATCTGGTAAAAATTCTATGTAATTGTATGCCAGTATTGAAAGAAACAATCAATCTGATGAGAAATGGCTATGACTTGTTTTGAATTACTGAAATACTGAAATGCCTCTAGAAAATCCAGTTCTCCAATGGAACGTGTTTTTTGAATAATTTTGGCAGCAGAAACGCCAAAATTTTGGTATTACGCTGGTTGGTTTTTTAAATGGCACAAAACCTCGAGGGTTATTATGCACCAGACAAATGGTGAGTAAAATTCAAAATGCATAAATAAGTATCAAGTGAATTGATGAAATGAACATAAAATGCTGATGAAGGCACGGAAAAATGACTTTAAAATGTCCAGGCAGAAATGACTGAAAAATGCTCTAGGTAGAGCAGGATAAAATGTAGTTCAAATCATATGGTAAAAGGAGATGTCTTAAAAAACTTATGAGGTTGATGTGAGGGTTTCTTCTAATGAGATCTGTTAACATCCGTAGAGTTAAAATAAAATTCACGTTTCTCTTACAGTCAAGATGGTTCAAAACAGATGACATATAAACTTTGGACTGGAGATGTTCTGAAGGCTCCACAGCAAATCCATAGTGCTTGATGGAGGACTGGATCCAATTTCAGGAGCACAGAAGGTCTTGCTGATCCATAGATAATACAGCCATAGTCAAGTTTGGAACGAATTAAAGCTCTATAAATGCGGAGCATAGAACAACATTCTGCTCCCCATGAGGTATTGGCCAGGACTTTCAATATGTTGAGAGCTTTAGCACATTTTTTCTTTAGATTTAGAATATGCAGAAGGAAATTGAGATTTCTCTCAAAGATAACTCGTAAGAATTTTATTTCTGGCTCAGCACGGATGGTATTACGCTGATTTTTGTTGTTTGACTTCTGAATTAGTATTTGTTCGGCATGTTACTGTGTCTTAATAAAACCCATTTTGCTGAAAAGATTTAACAAAACATCACTATTATAATGAAAATGGACTACTGTACTAGCTTCCAGATACTTGGAGAATTTTCTTTTCCCTAGGTGTGGTAGATAAAAGTATGTATATACCCATGTTTATTTTTGAAAATACTTCTGATATCACGAGGACCAATTTGAGAGGTGCATTTTTTCTCTTGTTAGGTTTCTTCACTATTTGAGAGGGCTCACAAGTTGGAATATATGCTTCCTTTTCTTGATAATATATGGGACAAAAAAAAAAAAAAAAAAAAAAAAAAAAAAACTTGCAAGATGATCTTTCGACTTTTTTACTCCCAGATGTCCCTAGACCTGCTCATAGCATAAACTTAATACTTTTGTCCAACAAGTTTCAGAAACAATCAATAATTACTGCAAATTTCCTAAATGTTTTTTCTTGACATTTATATAGCAGTCCATTTTCTATTTTGTAAACATTTTTCTTTAGAGCTACTTTGAGCATCTAATGCTGCTAGGTCAAAAAGTGGTTTTAAGTCCTCACTTTCTCTTTGCAAATTAGAAAACTGAGTTTTGTCTGTTGAAAGAAGAGGTAGTTCAACCACCTCTGCATCAGCCAGGCGCAGTTTTTTATCTCTCAGTTCTTTTGTGTGGGATGAAGTGTTACTTTCATCTTTAGTGAGGGGCAAAATTTCCTCTGTGGCCATAAACTTGTCATTTTCACTTCTTTTCTGGCAGTTTTCTTTTCTTTCTTTTTTTTTTTTTTTTAAATTCAGTTTGGGACTTAACAGAGCAGGAGTCTCCACCACGTTAACTTGAAAGAAAGGTCCTTCAAGTTGATTTTTTCTAATTTTGCAGCCATCTGGTTCCCTAGTAGATAACATCCTTAGTCGAGCTTATTTCAAATGACTGCTGCCTTTGATATTATTTGACCAAAATTCTCTTCTATCTCAACATGTGCTAAGGGTAAACAGATTGGTGCTGCATCAAAAGGTTCTTTTACTCAAATAGTTCTGCAAGTCAACGTCGAAGAAGTGATGTATTTACCGCAGATTACATAAACAGATGCTTTAGAATCCCGTAACACTGGAAGATTGAACCCATTTACTTTAGGCATTGCTGTATATAGCACTAAGCAATTTTCATGCTCTGCACTCTATTAATAATAGCTGACAATTTGAATTCTTTCTTCACTTTTGGGCACTGAGGCCTTAAGTGATCAGTTGAACCACAAGTATAACACATATATATCAAAATGACATTCATTCTGATTTTGGAATGATTTCTTTTTTTCAGAGGCATATCTAGCTTTTCCTTCAGATTGGTGATACTTTTGTGAATCTCTGAGACACGGCTGATTTTTATTGCCCCTTTGCAACTGCGAATAATGAACTGGAGTGACATTTTTATGGTATTCACGTACATTTTCTAATAATTCTGCTAATTTATTTGGAGACATTATCTTTGACAGTTCATCAGTAAAATGCTAACACACTTTGAAATTTACTTGGTGCTTCATTTGATCCACTATTATAAGATCTTTTGAAAGTTCAAAATCTTTCATTTTTAATGCAGCAATCCATTCTTCAAAATAATTCCATAATTCAAAGGCAAAATCGCTTCAAGAAGTTTGAGCATTTTTGGGGGAGGGATTGCATAAATTTGATGCAAAATTTTTCTGCACTAAGTTTAAACCTTTTAAGCAGTATCCCTTTTACGTAAGCATAGTAATAAGCCTGTTGTTCTGGCTCTCACAAGGAGAAAATAGTTGGGAAACACTGCTTGATAACATTACCTAGAAAGTTATTACTGAGAGAACTAAACTGTGCAATCATAGTGAATTAAAACCGTATTATATTCTGTAAAAATTATTTCAGTAGTATAATAAACTGGGTTTTATTTCTACTTACTGGGTTCATCACTAATAACTAACAGAAATAAAATTTTAAATAACTTACTCTGCTAATTTTTTCGCAACATCATCACTGGGAGCAGTTACATATGACACTGAAAATACTCCTTGGTAAGAATCACTAGCGCTACAAGCCATGCTTGACCAAGCTCGTCTTGTTATAGATAAAACACTCAGCATTAAATATAAGTATAGAAAGTTAGGCTGGGAAAAATGAGAAAATAAATTTTGTTTATATTAAATTTATTAAAAGATTACTTTAAAATAAAAAACTGTACAAAAGTGATTTCCCATAAAGATTCACTCTACACTATCCAAGACAGAATGCTACTTACGAAATTTTTATCAGTTAACATACTACAGAAATTTCCATTGCAAAACTACATTTTTGGACCATTCCTGTACAATAGAGCTGGAGCAAACAAAGGAGGTTAGAATAGAAGGAGGGAAGGTTCAACTGAAACGGTGAAGCGTGGCGGCCATCTTCCTGTTATCACCGTGACTTGTGCAAGGAAGTCTGTCATTGCAACATTTTTTTCTTTTCTTTTTGAAGCATGTCAGCTTGTGTTGCGTATGGATGCACAAATAGATTCTCGAAAAAAATTCCGGGCATAACTTTTCACACGTAAGTATTGATTTTCTTTTTTTTATGTAATATGACAACTATGTTAAAAAATATCACAATGTCATGTTGTTTTCTTTCCAGATGTAAAAAAAAAAAGGACTTAAATAATCAAAACATGTTTTGTAATATAACTATAATCAAAAAATGTTAAATACATTTTAAAATTTGTGTTAATAGCTGGTATCTTCCTTCCTTAAGATACAATGATATATGGTAGGATTAGCTAATTCTTTTATAACTTTCATGAAAAGTAAGAAATCATCTGTTACTATTTTTATTAATTGTAAAGGTGTTAAATAAAGCAATGCTTTTCTTTATATATTAATTATTATTCATTTTTTTAAGTTAATATAAACTGTTCTGTTGTTAAATATTTTTTGCATAAACTTACAAATTTCTGGGTGCTACTTTGGTAGACGGTTGCACGGATTTTAGAGATTTGTTGGCAATTTATTTTTGGCGAGCGATACGACATATGGTAAACAAATTGCTAGACAAGTTGTTTATGATAACCGATACTTTGTTGTCATTTTATTTAAAAAATAATGCTTTTTATTATGCATAAATTCCGTGTTTTAAATATTATTTATGACTTCAAAATAATAAAAATGAATTTAATTTTGTATTTTTTATTGAAATAAAAATTTTATTGTTTATGATATTTTATTGGAATTTTATGTTGTGAATGATGTAATGAATAACTTCACAAAATTTTAAAAGTAATTGGTTTTAAATCTATAAATTTAATCTAATGTTTTAAACATTATTTATGGCTGTGAAATATTAAAGACAATTTAGTTTTGCATTTTTTTTAAATATGATTTTATTATGAATGATTATTTAAATAATTTTCATTCTATGCGTGATGTAATCAGCTCCCTGATTGGTTACTGAACATTTTTTGAATTACCGCGCCATTTTAAATTTTTATTCATCTCTCTCGAATTCCTCACATTCAAAGCGAATGGATGTGTCCGTTTAGAATATGAATGTTGTTATTGGTAATTACCAAGAATTATTGGTATCGGAATAAAAAAAATTGCCGTTTGAGACCTTATTTTGGCCAACCTTGCTTTCCTAATCAAAGATTTATTTATAAATTGTTAATAGCGTCAGAAGAAATTTATTTTAAATTTTTGGAGGAAACATCACTGATTGCTTCTTCAATCACACAGATAAAGATTGTTAGCGGACCGTTTTTTTTTTTTTTTTTTTTTTTTTTTTTTTTTTTTTTTGTGTGTGTGTGTGTGTGTGTGTGGTACTTATTACCAATATACGAAATTTTAAAGTAAGTACATAATTTTCTTTTACTTCATAACTGTATACTTCAATTTTATTAAAAAATTAATACAAATGTTTTTCAAAAATTCCTGAGATATTTATTGCCGCATATGTTTTAATGTTAAATAATTAAATCCTATAAAACACTTATTTTAAAGTATTTAAGTAATATTTTAATTGGTATGATGTTTTTAATTCGATATTCAATTTAAGTAATATTTTAATCCAATTAAATGTTGCGCAATAATTTTATTCTATTATATGAAAGTAATAATTTTACCTTACTTTAGCATTTTATAGTCTTAGTAAATGTATTTATTTACATTTGCCAGCCATCTTAAAAAACAACGTTTTCAACAAAAAATTAAAATCCATTATTTTTAACGATATTTATTTTTTTTTTTTAAGTTTCGGATACTTACTATGCGTAATATACGAAAACAAACACATTTTTTCAAGATGTCTGACGACTGGAAACACCGCGCCAACAATTGCGCCAATGTAAATCGCCAAAAATCCGTGCAACCGTCTACCAAAGTAGTACCAATTTCTGGCCAGTATAGTGATAAAATTAAGTAAAATATTTATTTACACAATTGAACATGTGGGCACAGCTTTAGTATTAGTCCTTTTTGGCGAGAAATTTGTTTGGCGACATTTTGGAGCGATAAATGTAAAGTTATGGTAACCTTGGTAACCCTAAATACTGAGCTGAAAAACATGCCGCCATTTCTGTCCACGTAACTTTAACGAATTTGGTAGGTATCAGAGCTTTGATGGCAGGAGGGATAAATTGCATGTTTTCCTTAAAGATACGTTTGTGTTAGGAAAGCATAACATTTAAAATATTTTATTTTTAATATTTTATTATTAAATTTTTAAAAAAGCTAAATTGATAGTTCAAATGATGCTTTTAAAAAAAAATCAATGAGTTTTGTCATTTTTTCATATGTTAACTCTGCATATTATAACTCCACCCCCCAGAAAAAAAAAAAAAAAAAAAAAAAAAAAAAAAAAAACAGTGATGAGGTAAACTCTTGGTTTTCCTTTGCTAAGAGATCAAAAATTACCATGGTCTAAAATACTTTTTTGCCTCATTTAGACTATTAGGGATGTGTAATTGCATGAATTCATAGGTTCAACAGGTATCATTATTGCTTTTATAACATTTTTATAATTTGTCTGACTATAAAAAATATAATGTTGCTTAGATTATGGAATATATTGCTTATAGGCTAAATCGCAGAACAGTAGCATGAGGTAAACTCTTTGGTGTGTCCTTTGCTAAGGAGATCAAAATTACCATGGTCTAAAAATACTTTTTTGCCTCATGTTAGAACTATTAGGGATGTGTAATTGCATGAATTCATAGGTTCAAATCAGGTATCATTATTGCTTTTATAACATTTTTATAATTTGTCTGACTATAAAAAATATAATGTTGCTTAGATTATGGAATATATTGCTTATAGGCTAAATCGCAGAACAGGTTGCATCAGTCGATGCTGTGTTTACTTCTCTTATGCTTGACACGCCTTTTATGACATAATATTGGTACGCCTCTCTTTAAAAACAAGTTATAAAGTATGCATAGATTCGTATTTAAAGAAACTTAAATTATATTTAACTGAGTTAAATGGGGTTTTATAATGTTCTGCGCGGATTTTTTAAATTATAAATTTACTTTTGGTGTGTTGTGTGGTAGTTAGCATTTTAATGCAACGAATTATCTCTCACAATTTATATTAAGATCCAAACGATCCTTAGAACGATCAAAACTATTGAATGCATGAATTAAAAATTATAACCATAACTTCTGAAAATACAGAAAAGAATTCTTTTGCTTAAAGAGGGGGGTCGCTGCGATCACCGAGGCAAGTGGCTGCACATTGGCAGCGCTCTGTAAAAAAGTGTAAAACATTCCTTTCCCCTTAGTGATTATCAATTAAATTACTTTCAAATAGTGTGTTTTCTACAAAACCTACACGTTTTCTAAAGATTTTCGGCTCCGATGTTGATGAGAATGAAACAGCGGACATGTGAGCATATACTACGAAAGCATGGAATTTTAAGATAAGTACCCTTCTTTCATCTAAACTAAATCAAATTTCTATAAATAAGTGCCTTTAAATCAATAAAGTTTAATTTTTAATCAGTTTTTAGCATTAAACAATACTTGAAATTGCTCATTGCTAGTGGCTTCCTTTGTGTTTACAATTCCAAACAGACGCCAACGTTATCAGTTCACGTCTGTCACCACTTACAAAGGCCCCACACCTTATCTTGTTTTCAGGAATCTCGTGAGAGGGAAAATTAGGGATTTGGGGCATCGCGCTACTTCCCTCTCGGATCTTCTGGTTTCTCTTTTTTTTTTAGATTGTTTTTTTGTTTAAATATATTTTCGCCTTTAAATAATATTAGTACACCTTACCGATTTTTTTTTTTCTCATACTGTTCCTTGCTATCTGTTAAATGTCCATATGTAAGGGATGGATTATTCTTCACTGCCTTAAATAAATTCTTAGAACTATGAGCTTATATAAATAACAGTGTGCCTCATTGTGTTATACTAGCATTAATTAACTAGTAATAAATTATGATAGTAAAATAATTAATCTTGTAATAAATTATGATAGTTAAATTAATAAATACTATGTTTAATTTGTGCTTTTAATACATATACTCAGTAATTTACACACACACATATACGAGGGCAATCCCAAAAAAAAAGGTCTCCCATTTCTTGGGGACGTAGAGAAAGTTTTAATACGGTTGTTGGCAACACTGTTGTGAGTGGTGCCTTTCCGCTACCACATAAGCACGCAGGCGCTTCGCTCGGATGCTCAGTCTTGGCTTGGCAGCCATTCGAAATGGAGCTCCCGATAAACGTTACCGCCAAGTGCGAAGTGCGCGCAGTTATTCGATTTTTGAACGCAAAAGGCGTTAAACCGGTTGAAATTCACCGCCTATTGACGGAAGTGTATGGACAGTCGTGCATGGATGTCAAAAACGTTCGCAAGTGTGTTGTAGAGAGTTTACAGCCGGTCGTACTGAAATTCATGACGAAGAAAGGAGCGGGAGGCCGTCAATTGCCGACGAGACAATCGCGAAAGTTGAGTAAGTTCGTATTCTTTGTTGAGTTTCGCGATTGTTGAGTTCGTAAAATGCGTAAAGATCGGAGGATCATCTGGATGCTCCTGAAGCTCCTCAACACTTCCTGAAGGGCATGGCGCAGCTGTATACCAAAATCTCTAAGGGAAGAATGAAAGCTTCATAGACGCATGAACTGTTCGCTCTGCGCCGCTGTACCGAAAGCCACGGCTTGCAGGAAACACCAGCGCAGGTGATATTTAAACAGCAGCGTAGCGAGGGATAGTAAATTTACTTGAAATAACTCAAATTTTATTTCATCATTTCGGAGTTTTATGAGCAAAGGATGTTAGTTGGAATTTTGGGCGAATTAGAATCCTCCAATTTTACTTTCAATTTACAAGCGAGCCGTCTAAGACAAAATTTAAATGAAAATGTTCTAATTCTTTTCTTCGTAAACTTAAAAAGGGGGGAAACACATGCCATACAAAACGTAATAA